GCTTGCTGCTGTGACCACTGCCCTGGAGAGTCTGTTCCAGTGCCTGACCACCCTCTTGGGTGGCTCTTTAGCCTTTTGCTGATATCCAACTTAAAATTCCCCTGATACAACTTCAGGCTATACCCTCTGGTCCTGTCACTGGGCACCACAGAGCAGATATCAGTGTCTGCCCCTTCTCTCCCCTTCACACGGAAGCTGTAACTGTAAAGACGTCCCCCCTTAGTCTCCTCCAGGCTAAATAGATGCAACTACCCTCAGCTGCTCCTCATATGGCTTCTCCTCAAAGTCCTTCACCATCTTCATTGCCCTCTTTTGGAAGCTCCCTAATCTATTATTCTTATATTGTGGTGACCAAAACCACACACAATATTCCAACACCAACTCTGAGAGGCATTCCTCAAGGAAACTGTGTAAGGTAGTGAATGGTGATGGATGTCTCTGAGATGGGGTGTCACCCTGTGTTTCATCCCATCCAGGTACTCAGACCCCAGCCTATGGACAGCCTACCTGGGGCTGACCGACCAAGGTGACCTCAGTGGCTCCAATGTGCAAACCCGCAAAATCAAGCGTATCATCTCCCACCCCTTCTTCAATGACTACACCTACGACTACGACATCGCAGTGCTGGAGCTGCAGAGCCCTGTCACCTTCACAGCCGTCGTCCAGCCCATCTGCCTGCCTGATGCCACCCACAGCTTCCCCGTGGGCAAGGACCTGTGGGTGACTGGATGGGGAGCGACTGCAGAAGGAGGTGAGTGCTGGCATGTGATTTGGGGCTGCATTGATGTATTTTACGCTTGCTGAAGTGTGTGGCTGCTGCACTCCTGGAAGCACTCCAAGCTATGTTGGACAGGGCTTGGAGCAACCTGGTCTAGTGGAAAGTGTCCCTACCCATGGCAGGGAGTGAAACGAGACAGGCTTTAGTTCTCTCTGAATCCAAACCATTCTGGGATTCTATAAGTCTATAATTTTTTGCTTTCTTGATGGGAAAAATGGGAAGCTGCTTAAAAATGTGTATCTCTACTTACGCTGCTTCTCCATCTTGGCAGGCACGGGAGCGTCCATCCTGCAGAAGGCAGAGATCCGGCTCATCAACCAGACTGKGTGTAATCAGCTCCTGACAGACCAGCTGACACCACGCATGATGTGCGTGGGGATCCTGACCGGCGGCGTGGATGCCTGCCAGGTAAAGCAGCATCTGGGTTTAGTGCTGGTTATTGGTTATTAGGCAAGGAGACAGGCCTTTGCTCAGCCATGCTCATTCTGGCAACTTCCACTTATATTTATACTTTTAACATACAACAAATCTA